CCCCATACTGGGCCCCGGGAAAGGGGAAAGCCCAACGGTTCCATTCCCCCTGGGTGTGGACTTGGCAGCTCGGAAGACGACGAGGATGAGGGAATCCAGACTGGTCCGACGGATCAGGACCCTCCTATCCCGACCGTCGTCGAAAGCGTACGTCGTCCTCCCGGCCCGTATCCTTCACTCTGGGCGATGATGGACGATGACGACGACGACGACGATGAAAGTCCGGGAAATTCGGAGGAGGCTCGAGCCGCTGATGACGCCTTGGAAGAAGACACGCGACGGGCCTTGTCCCAGTCCAGATCTGAAGCCCCGACGGAGATCCCTCTCGACACCGCCTCCACAAGTCGCTGGCACCGCCGGATCTGGAGGCGACACTGCGGGATCTGCGATCCAAGTCGACAGTGATGGTGGATCGGGTAGCGATGGTGGAGGGGGGTCGCCTCGTGGTGGTTGATTCCTTGGATCCGGTGGAGGGGGGTCGCCTCATGGTGGTGGATCCCCCGGATCTGTCTTGATCCCCGCTCCCCCTAACTCGTCATTGCCAGGGATGCTCCCCGTGGCCCCGTTCGGTCCGGATGCCGCCTTCATTCCTGGTCGGCGTGCTCCCGTGGCCTTCGCCACTCGAGACATTGAACCTTGGTCCGCTAAGAAATTGAACGGGGTCGCCATGATTTCAATGAAGATCACGGTCCTGTTTCCTGAGTTGCCTTTTCGAGCTGAATGGATATTCCCTCGGGAAGCGGACGTCATCCCGACGGCCGGATATGTGTATTCGCTCATCACCAGACCTCACGTGGAAGAATTGCTGAATGCTGCCCCGTGGGATACGCTGGCCACCACACTGGTGGATCCGGTTAGCTTCAGGGGTGATGTGCGCGGGCGTCTTGGGTTGTTCGTTCGCGCGTTCCGGGATTTCGTTTCCAATAACCGTGTTGCCATATGGGAAGGCACTCACCGATTCCCCATCTCTCGTAATCAACTGCAGGGCTCGACTTTATTGTCCAAATTCAACAAGCAGCGTGGTAACCGACGTAGCCATGCTGGTCGAGCTTGGAAGAAAGTCCTCGTGATCCTCGTGTTGGCGATCCAGGACGGTTGGTGTGACGTGGATGTTTTGTTGGATCCATCCTTCTTGCATCTTCCCCGACGCGGGGGTAAGGTAGCTTGGTTTCCGGGATCCGTTTCCCGTCAAGCCAACTTGGAGGATCCCAACCTCCATCGCCCAGAACCCACGAACCTACTGGAGGCCTTGCGAGAGATCGACGAAGCCGAGCCTTGGCGCATCCAGTTTCGTGGTGACCCGAGCCAACACCCAGGACGCCATATCCAGCGTCTAGTGGGCAAGTTCTTCAATGTTCAGCCCAAGACTACCTGATCCCTATCACTCTTTGACGCCACGCTCCCCAGTAATCAGTCTTCGTGGATTCGTTTCGTAGTAGTAACTAGCGGTGG